AGGACAGGAAGGCCTGGCGCGATACGGTTCATGGGGTCACGAAGAGTCGGACATGACTTAATGACTGAACAATGCTGTTAAAACAGTCACTGCAATCTCAATCTGTTCTAAGGTACAGATATTAAAAAGAAATAAAGAAAAAAATGTACTAGCCTTCAGTCCTACAGTCTTGATTAAACCAAGAGCAAAAAACCTATGGTTCTCCAAATATTGGAATATTTGAATTTACATCAGCTGCAGACATCATGGCCAAAGGCCAGGGACCTTGGGAAGAAAAGTGCAAAGCATCTGGTGAGCCACAACTTTACCACCCTGAATTACAAGAATGCATTTTGTTGCAAAACTGGAATCCTGAGCTCAGTTTCTAAACAAAGGACAAATTCCCTCTAGCCAGTTATAAATCATACTATAGAATGATAAAGAGTTCTTGCCAAAAGTTATAAACTGATTTGTAACTGCCAGCTCCTGGTTCCATAGGCCCTGCCATCTCAGTCATCCTGTGAATGCCAGCACTCTATTAGAGAGGTGCATTTATTCCTCCCCACACTGCCATTTGAAAGTGGGTATTAGATTGGAAGCAGGTGAAGATCATTTTCCTGCCTTTGCTATACCAACTGCAGCCACCAGAACAGGAGATTCTTCCATGTACCGAACAGCTGGCTGTTGGTTATCTGAGCCCAAACTGAAACATGTGTGCTTCCATTGTTTTAGTCTACACACATAAACAAACAGGGCTGGTTTGGTCCACGCATTGGGACCAGGTAAAAAGCCAAGGAGACTGATGGGAGGCAGGGAAAGTGCTGAAAAGATTGATGGGGAGGGGTTGGAACACTAGCAAGAACACTGATGGTGGCTGAGAGGAGAGAGAACATAAGTCCTCATTTAAGTTGCTGGAAAGATTGGGGGGGAGGGTATCATTGACGTCCAACCCTGGAAAAAGAGGGTTAATAAGTCTGCTTTTGTACTGAAATTGCTTGTTGAAAATCCATCTCTACAACTAGATATTACAGATACATACACACAGGTCCTCCCATTCTGAATCTGCTCTTTTGATTACTACAGTCTTACTTATACAGCATTTATTATCATATCAATAGGACACCCGTGAGCTCAGCATGAACATTTACAACATGCCAGGAAGTATAAAATGGTGATGCTCTTTTTTGTTTATTTCAACCTACCCAACAAAAGTAAACCTAATTAAAAAAACAAAAATGGTCAGCAGTATTTATTTCCAGTACAGAACCATATACTGAAATTGTTACTAGACATATGCTTATGGTATTTGTTACTTCCATATCCATCACTGAAGAATTTCCAATCTATCATTATATTATGAAAGATTTCACAGAGGATGGTTTCACAGAGGAGATGCTAGAGGGTTTTTTTGGTTGTTGTTCTGCAAGAGGTGTTGGGGGAATTACTGCAATCTTACAGTTTTAATGAGTAAAATTCAAGTTTAAGAAAACATTCAAACATACCCAAGGGGTATTTTTAGTTGAAAATACAAGTGAGATTTTTTTTGGTCTTCCCACCATTTAGACTATCATTTTGTCTCCAAGTAACTTGAAGTATAACTCCCATCAACATTAAACAGCATAATTTGCAATAGAGACTTAAATCAATATGCAGGGTATCAGCTAGGGAGATCTGAACTGGACCATTCTTTCTGCTTAATTTGAACTTCTTAATCTATTTGTAAAAGTTCTTTAACTCACTGCTATTACTGATAAGTATTTGCTTCATTTGGCGAAGGGAGGAAGATGCTATATTCAGCAGCGCATAATAATTTTAGACGATATGAATTACCAAGAGATGGGTAATTCAGTTTAATACTAGATATTTGTTGGGAACATAGTCAAAAACAATGTACTGGGAAAAAGAAAAATTATCAGAAATTATTAAGGTGACTCATAACTGTATATAATGTGTAATTTACCAATATTTAAAGTGTTAGTACCAACATTAACACTATTTTCACTTTTGCTCGACCTTTTTACAAATGATTGTGATTATTTTATTTTAATACACTAATTTCTTACTTTGGTATACTGAAATCCAACTTTTAGTACTGCACAAAATCCCCCATTCTACATTAAAATAAAAATGCTAGACTATAAGATTTCTAATGATTTTCAAATTGATTGACAACAATAACGTAAAGGAAGCCTGAGATATGAGACACATAACACATGTAATTATATATAAATATTTCTCCAAGGACCATTGTCTTTCTTCTGAATCTCTGACCACACTCTTAAAAAACTGTTCACAAAGAAAAATAAACAAACATGAATATTCCAAGAGAACATACACAAAATAATCCACAATTTAGTAATAATTTAACTTTTGGAGTCTCTTCCAGCATTTGTAGACAAATAGTCTCTTCTTCCCCCTTATCTTGGATGACTCTATTGTTCACATTTTTGCTTTTAAAGCCACAGAACCAATCTATGAATTTCCAGTGTTTGTCACTACTTCCAGTCTCCTCCTCACTCTTCTTGTTACCCATAAGAGCTGCCTGCCCATTAGAGTAACAATCAACTGGTGTCTCAACTTCAGAGTTACTAAAAGAAATCACTGGATTGCTGTCATCTCTGCAAGTAATTAGAAGATTGACATTTTCAGGCTGGTCATTTTTAACATTTTCTTCAGATTTCCCATTTGAAGATACAGGATTAAGAGTTTCACTGTACTTTAACATGTTCTTCTCTTGTGCTTTGTATGAACTGGCTGTTGATGTGTTTTCTTTCACAGTTCTGTTTTTTATAGACCAGAATGTTGTTGCACGAACTTGTTCTTTTGAAGGTGGTGGGGTCAGAAAGCTTACTACTATAGCCACAATTCCAGTGATCCAAAACAGTGCAGTAGCAACATACATGTAATGGATGCTTCTGATGAAGAACGGTCTAGTGTCTGGCTGGTTACATTCAGGGACACGATAGATAAATGCCAGAATCAGTCGTACAGCTCCTAAAGCAAACCCAACCATTCCGCCAAAGAAGGCCCCTTGTTCATTACAACGCTTCCAAAATACACCTAAGAGAAATATAGCAGCCACTGGAGGAGTCAAGTAGTCTGCTACCTCTTGTATATATAGATACATTTGGCCTCCTTGCATTTCCACTATTATTGGGACCCAAGCAATGCTTATTGCAACCATGAAGGCAACAAAAACTCTTCCAACAATCATCAATTCTCTGGATGAAGCATTCTTCCTTATGAGGAGCTTATACACATCAAGTGTAAAGATGGTACTGGCACTGTTAAATATAGAATCCAAATCACTCATTAGTGCAGCAATCATTACAGCCATCATAAGGCCCCGCAGACCAACAGGAACAAGGTTCATTACCAAACGCGGATAGGCAATGTTAGAGCATCCAGCTCTGCTTCCACAAACTTTCATACAATGTTCCGGACTGATGCATGCAATATCATCTACAAACAATATTCGTGATATCATACCCGGAACAACTATAAGGAACATAGGCAAAAGTTTTAAAAAACCTGCCATCAGAGTGGATCCTTTGGCATGAGCAATATTTTTTGCTGCTAACACTCTCTGGACAATTACTTGGTCTGCACACCAGTACCATACAGAAGCTGGGGTCTGTCCCAAAATGAAACCAGGCCAAGGAATATCTTCATCAGTTGGTTCACGTAACATTCTCAGTGCATCAGGTTTTGGGTCAACATGACAATAATTAGTATTGGAAAGATTATGTGTCAATAAAATTGATGTAATATTTGGTTTTGCCAACCTGTACCTTCGTTTAAGCTCTTCAAATCCACCAACTTCTGTAATACTTATGATCATAAGTGTGAAGGCACCAATAATCATAAGCAAAGCTTGAACTGTGTCTGTGTAGATAACTGCCACAAGACCTCCAGTCACTGTCAGCAATGCAGTCATTCCAATCAAAAGTATAACTGACAAATAAATATTCCAGCCCAATGACTCTTGAATGAACAATGCTCCTGAATACAAATCTACTGAGAGTTTGGTGAAGATATAGAGAATCAGAGACAACACAGCAAAATATACTTGAATTCTGTGCCCTCCAAAGCGTTTGGATAAGTACCCAGGCATGGTGTATATTCCAGATTGAATGTAGACCGGAACAAAGATCCATCCCAAGAGTTGCAAAAGCATTAAGGCATTGAATTCCCATGCCCCCACGGCAAATCCACTTGCTGCTCCAGATCCTGCAAGCCCAATGAAGTGTTCACTCCCGATGTTGCTTACAAACAAGGAAGCACCAATTGCAACCCATGTCATAGATCGCCCTGCCAGGAAGTACCCACTTACAGTGCTTCGATTGTATTTCCACATGGCAAAAAAGCCTATGCACAGAACAAGCACAAAATAGAGTGCCACAATGGCAATGTCTGCTGGTTGCAAAGCCGCCCTCATTTTTGTAAATCAAGTAACTTCCAAATGTTGATGTCCAGGTCACAAACCCCAAGCCTTAGTAAGATAAATCAGTTTAGTTTTACAAACACTGTGGGTCAAAATCTGTCCTTTGGTTTGCTGTCTTGATAGCAGTGGATGCAGTACAACTCTGAGAAGGTAAAATGTGTTTTTTCCGCTTCTTAAATACTTAGTGTGCACTTTTATTCTCCAATCCACAAGAGCATCACCATTAACTTTGTTGATGTAGGAGAAATTCTTAGTTGCAGCTAAGTCTAGTGAGGCCTACTGTACCAACCCTGCAAGGCAGCAAAAACAAAAGATAAAGATTGAATTAGAGAAGGCTTTACTATGCACCAGAAAAACTTGAATTGTGTCATAACAGGTAGTTGAACATAGCTTTTCTTCCCTTTGAAATACAATGTTGAATTTTACACAATTTAAGAGATAACTTTCAAAGACTGTAAACAGAGTATACTAATAGAGTAAAAGAAAGTGCATGCTTTCACTAAATAAGCTGCCAGACTTGCACCACTATTTAAGTATTATCTTAATTACATAGAATGTTTTGATATTCAAAACGATGGTACATCAGCACCACAGAAAGACTCTGCCTTTATTCTGGTTTTATATATTGCATCCTTCAATTCATTCAGAATCACAATTATCCCCAAATATGATTTACATCCCTTGATGCTTCTGTGCAATATTGTAACAATAGTGATATAAACTTATAGCAAAAGCTTTAATCATCTGGTAAATTATAGAATTATGTTCCTATTAATTTGCCTTCCCAAATTGATCTCCACTATACCCAGTTTCCTTGTCCTACAGCAGCTATGCACATATAAAGTATCTTTCTCATAAAATTACTTCAAAGCCTGTAGAGGAAAATACTTCAAATGCTGATGTTTGTTTTAAAAAAAACTGATGATAAGGAATGATATCTAAGTACAGTACTAGGCTAGATGAAGACTAGTAGGCTGAAATTCTGGCAAGATGGAGAACCTCTGGGAAAGTGGCTTTTGAGTTCAGGGGTTAGATAGTTGTTCTGTTGAAGTTGCACACTCCCTCCAGGAAGAAATAGTTGAGCAAGTGGAAATCACAGTAACCTTGGGACAGAGTGTTCATGTCATTCTAGAATTCACCATATTGCAGGCAGGGAGAACTGAAGGTAGTCCGATTAGTGTTCTAGATTTCAAGAGAGCTGACTTCAATAAACTAAGAAAAAATGTAGGAAGGATTCCATGGGTGGAAATGCTAAAGGGAAAATAGTTCAGGAGAGCTGGGAAATTCTGAAAAATCAGATAAATTAGGGACCAAATTCAAACAATACCAGAGAGAAAGAAAAATGGGAGACAGCTAATGCTGTTGGTAAGTTGTGTAAAGAGCTCTCTGATAAACTGAGAAACAAAAAGGACAAGTTTAAAAAATGAAAAGAGGGTCATATAATAAAAGCAGAATATCAGGAAATAGCCCAAATCTGTAAAAATGGGATTAGGAAGATTCAGGCTCACAATGAGTGGAGGCTTGCAAGGAAACCAAAAATAACAAAAAACATTTCTTGAGTTCGTGTAGAACAAGAGAAAGATTAAGAAAACAGTCAGTGCACTGGCTGGTGAAGATGGCAACAGACAACAGGGAGAAGTCTGAACTGCTTAATTCCTATTTTGCATCTGTAGTTTCACAAAAGAAAAAAGTGATCCAACCATCAGAAGGTGTGCCATGGGGGGGGGGGGGGGAGGAGA